TCCTCCGCATCACCCTGGTGCCATTTTGGAGAATATCCACTGAACACAAACAACGTATGCTATTCTGTGTCAGCTGCGTCATGTGGATACTTTGTTTTCGTTCAAATCAAAGTGTAGACAACGTAGAAAAAGTATCCACATGACGCAGCTGACACAGAATAGCATACGCTGTTTACGTTCAGTGGATATTCTCCAAAATGGCACCAGGGTAATGCGGAGACGAATTGTTGAATAAAGTCATTATTTTTGTTTTCTTTGTGTACAAAAAGTATTCTCGTAGCTTTGTAAAATTACGGTTGAACCCCTGATGTCACATGGATTATTTTACTGATCTCCCTGCTACGTTTCTGGACCTTGATCGTGGTAATTTCAGAGAGCGCTCAGAAATCATCAAAAATATCTTAATTTGTGTTCCGAAGATGAACGGAGGTCTTACGGGTTTAGAACGACATGAGGGTGAGTAATTAATGACAGAATTTAAATTTTTGGGTGAACTAACTCTTTAAAGCCATGACACAACAAACTGTCATCAAAGAACTAGTGGCGATGAAAGCAAATTTTGCTGACAACTTTGTGTCAACTGCATCTGGGCCAAAAAGGTGCACTTGAACACACTGAATGTACATTCTTCACTGGTGGTGGCAGTAAGCAGTATCCATATTTGTCATTCCAAAAAGGTCACCAAAACTAGGACTGCAATACAAACCGTAAACATATACAAACCGTAAACAAAGCAGCACTTGTTTACCATTCTAAGTATGTTTATTGTTGTTCTTCACTTTTTTCATTCCAAATGGCCATGTCATTTGAAAATATTTGCACATTGGAATGCTCAGGTAAAATTAGAACAACCTTCAATGTCTGCCCTGTTGACTTTGTCGTTTGCTCACTTTCATCACTTTTGTTTTTCTTCCCGTGCTCTGGTTCCCTAAGCTGAAAATCAGAGAGATTTGTCTCAGTGACTTCCCAAAGGCGACTCAAAATGCTCAATCGTCCAAAACTTTGCCAAACAGGATCCAACTAGTGCAGACAGGGGTGAACACATTGCAAAAACTGAGCTGACAGATGTTCAATGATGGCTTGACATTGACCGACAGTTGACTGTTAGCTTGGTGTGTTAGCCTTAGGCTTTCTTATTGTGAAGAGCGGAGTTGCCTACCCCTGTATAAATACAGGATGAGACAGTATGAATCGATATTTGCATGTTATTGAGTACTTTGAAAAGTATTATAAATACTTTGTTATTCACAAATATTTTTATAATGTGTGGCTTTTCATAGAGTTGTAGATGGAATTGAGGACAACGGACATGTGTTTCATTTTAATGTTGAGGACACCACGGCCAAAACTAGTACAGTGACATCACTGGGTAATAAGACACTGGACGGTAAGAATATTTTATTCTTAGTATCTAAGTAACATACCATATTGGTCAGTTGGGTCATTGCATCTTTGTTTTAATGCAGGGTCTGGTCAGGTGAATGCGTCACTGCTTCAGGATACAAAGGAAGTGAAAGAGACCATTGACCAACTCAACAAGAAGGTGCCGTGACAATCTCATTCCTAAAGACAGAGACATTAAATCCTTCTAAAATGTTCCTATTTACAGTATAAACTCAGAAATCATAATTATGACAAGGTGTACTCAAGTGAAAAATAAAGGACAAAAATTAAGTTTGCAACTGATGGTTTATTTGTGTTTTATGATTCTCATGTTTATATATACTCTAATACAATATTTGAATGCAACTCATTCCAGATGGGCAACCTGAAACAGGAAGTGTCAATTCTAACA